AGAAACACTGAAACTCTGGAAGTCTGCTCACACTGATTGCGGTTCCGTGATCCCGGTCTTGCCAGTGGATAAAGGGCTCAAAATGTGCCCATGTCTTTCTTCAGAGCACTATCAGAAAGCAAATCAGTGTTGCTCCACTGGCTACCAGGGGAGGGGGTCTCAGCTAGACCCAAACCCAGGACTTTTGTTCCTCAGTGTGTTACCGAATGTGGCATACCCCGGTATGTTACTGAAAACATTGTTAATTTTGAGCCCAGTTTACCAAAGTGCTCATGCAAGTGACTAAGTGTGCAAGACTTTAAAAAATCTGATATACATCCATTCATCAAACATCCTGCTTTGTCAGCCGTAGCCGGCGTTTGCGCCCAGCCTCACTCAGCCCTGAACAGCGACATAAATAGATGGGGGAGGACACCGTGCTGGCACTGCGCGCTCAGCCCGGCATATGGATCGTTATCCCTTTGGTATATGCGCGCTGCGCTGAGCTATACCGCTGAGGTGCAGATCTGGGAAAGTTTAGTCTTAACCTGCATTCTCCATTGAGGTGTTGGTCTTCTAGAGTCACCCATGGAGCTCGTTGTGAATCCAATGCTCGAGACCGGATCCTTCTAGCTGTAGAAGGATCAGGTAACCTTAGTTTTAATCCTAAAACCGATTAAAAACTTTGGTAATTTCAATATGCTTCTCTTATTCTTAAAAGCCTCCTTTTGGATTTCAGCTCGGTAGAACTGAAGTGTGACCTGAAGCAGAGGAGTGTGGAAGCCAAAGCGAGTTGTATCTGACTGCCACTAAAGTCTATGGGGTTTAGACACTTCTCTCTCCCAAGAAACGAATGCAGTTCCATACATTTTGAGAGTGAAGTTTCTCAACCCTTTATTAAGAAGGGATTTCCTGATACCACCCTGAAAAAGTCCACAGACCATCTTGTGCTGGGTTGGTTTTTTTTTTTGAGAAACTGAACAAAGTAAAGTAATAGTTTCAACAAATAAGAACTAGACTAAATTTTGAATGTTTGTCTGTTACTTCCCCCCCCCCCCCCATACACACACTTGTTTCCTTATCTGCACACGAGAGTATATTTGTTGGGTTTTTTTTCTGATCATGGACTGATGTCCTTTGAACCACAAAAAGTTTGCAGGTCAAATAATATTTCTCTATGTCAATTACTACCAAAAGCTGCAACAAATGAAATTCCTTCTCTGTGACAATCCAGACAGCATTATTTTGAACAATTGTACAGGAGCTCGAAGCAGACATATGATTGTATAGTGCGGTTCG